GCTGAAGGCGAATTTGAACCAGATCATTACTATTCTATTATGAGGCTTAGTTCACTTTCTCATTATCTTAGTGTAGATAATATCGTTTGTAAAAATAAAATAAAAATAAATAAACGTTTGAATGTTCATTTTTCAAATTTTGTTCATTAAAAAAAAAACTGAAATATTGTTTGATAATAATGAAAAGTGAAAACAAACAAATCTTGTTTTCAAAAAGTACAAACCAAAAACTAAAAATTGAAAACGAAATTGTTATCGAACGACCCTTAAGTCATACATCCAAATAAGGGCCACTGTGATATCCCACATCGTCCAGGGGTGTGATTCTTATATGTATATTCTCATCCCTACCTAGCACGAGGCCTTTTGGGAGCTCACTGGCTTTGGGTTCCGTAGGAACTCCGAAGTTAAGCGAGAAGGGGGTTAGAGCAATCCCATGATGGGTGACCCACTGGGAAGTTGCTCGTGAGTTCCCAAAAACCAAACCGTGAAGGAATGGTAAGCCCAAAGCGGACAATATCGTGCTACGGTAGTGGAGTCGGGCCTGGGAAGTGGTCCCACCCGGGCCGGGATGTGACAAATTGGTATCAGAGTCTAACCTTGGTCGCGTTTGTGCCGACAAGGACGTCGGGCCCCTAAGGGGGGTGGATTGTGATATCCCACATCGCCCAGGGGTGTGATCCTTATATGTATATTCTCATCCCTACCTAGCACGAGGCCTTTTGGGAGCTCACTGGCTTCGGGTTCCGTAGGAACTCCGAAGTTAAGCGAGAAGAGGGTTAGAGCAATCCCATGATGGGTGACCCACTGGGAAGTTGCTCGTGAGTTCCCAAAAACAAAATCGTGAGGGAATGGTAAGCCCAAAGCGAACAATATCGTGCTACGGTAGTGGAGTCGGGTCCGGGAAGTGGTCCCACCCGGGCCGGGATGTGACAATTTACATAACCCACAGGTCCCAGGATCGAAACCTGGCTCTGATACCAAATTGTCACATCCCAGCCCGGGTGGGACCACTTCCCGAGCCCGACTCCACTATCGTAGCACGATATTGTCCGCTTTGGGCTTACCATTCTCTCACGGTTTTGTTTTTGGGAACTCACGAGCAACTTCCCAGTGGGTCACCCATCATGGGATTGCTCTAACCCCCTTCTCGCTTAACTTCGGAGTTCCTACGGAACCCGAATCCAGTGAGCTCCCAAAAGGCCTCGTGCTAGGTAAGGATGAGAATATACATATAAGGATCACACTCGATTGTGACAACTCGTTTTAAATTTTACGTTTTTATTTTATTTTAAAATCGTGAATTTACGAAATTGCCCTAGAGGCGAGGACTTTGACTTCCGTTGACCATCGACTTGAGAGATGTGAGACTTATTCTTTTAGCATATCCTCATAGTACTCGTTGGTACGAACGTATAGGCGAAAGCCGTTTGCGAGTCCGGATTATAACGGTATAGTTACAGACGTTCGAAATTGGTTATTCAAGGTTTAGTGTTAATTAAATTAAATCCCCAATCAGAAATTGGTTATTCAAGGTGAATGCCAATCAGAAATAGAAAGAAGAAAAGAGAAAAAAAAAAAAAAAAAAAAAAACTGAACAGCTTTCCCGTGGGTTTTTCCACTCGCGACCACCTATTTTCCAAGGTCGATTCCGGCCAACTCCAGTGGAGTTTTTCGACGCCACCACCACCATCTTGAAGCTCTCATTCCCCTCTACAAAACCCACCCAAGAATCACCTTGATTAACCATGGTATGTGGCGGTTTGAGGCCACGAAAGTCGACGAAAATCAACGGTGTCGGCCAGCACAACTCGATTCAGGGTCCAAGTGGACTTTCTGGGTCGGGGTGTGTCAGCCACGCATCTAAACAAGAATTGTTAAATACAGTATTTTGAGATGACGTAGAGTGAGTCGGCCCGACCTAAATCTAGTATGAGGATCAACCTTTGTTGGAGGTTGAAGTGGAACAAGATAAATCTAGCATGAGGATCAATCTTTTCTCACTTATGTTAGTCGAAAATGAGCCTAGAAAAGATAGGCTATAACCTGGAGGAAAGTAGTCATATTGCGTCGTCTTTTTCTGTTTGTTTTATTTTATATTGCATGCTCTTAGTTCTTAACGTGCAAAAGTCTACAATAACAATTAATGCATCTAGAAGTTTACACACTAAAATAGTAAAAATCAAACTTCTACTATTTCATCTTTCATCTCCATATGCTTATTTTATGTGAATATTCACGTCAATTTCACAGCATATATATTGTAATATATATAGTACTAGGGTTAGGACCAACTCTTGAGCAGTTTAGGTGGTACCACCGCATAAGACTTCCAATTGTTTGAAAATCTTTGACGTAGAGCAAAACGTACAAGAATTTAAAAAGCTATTATCTACTGTGGTTGATTTAAATTTTATGCAGAGATCATAGGTTTGAATCCTGCCGTTTTCTTTTTTATTTTTTTGAATTTTTAGTTACAAAATCTGAGGTTCGGATCTGGTGGGTTTGATCGGGTCTGGGTCACGCCGGTTCGGTTTTACCCAGCCCATATGACAGAAACCAAACCCCAAAAAACAGAATCTGTCCGTCCAAATCAAATCCAAACCAATGACACCCTTCAACTCTCTCACCAAAATCGCCGCCGTCCCAAGATTTGCCGTACAAAATCTATCCTGCCGCAGATCAATCGCCAACACAATCTCCGCTGATCACGATGCTCCCACCGTCGCATACCTCATAAACTCATGTGGGTTGTCGCCGGAATCCGCCGCCGAAGCTTCCCAGAAGCTAAGCTCCGGTCTTCCGACAGAGCGGACTCTGTTCTGGAGCTCCTGAGAACGCACGAGTTCTCCGCCGCCGACATCTCAAAGCTCGTGAGACGCCACCCTTTGATCCTCGCCGCCGACGCCGAAAAGACCCTTTTGCCCAAGCTCGAGTTCTTCACCTCCAAAGGGATTTCAAGGCTCGATCTCGCCAGAACTGTGAGTTACGATCCTTCCCTTTTGAAAATAAGTTTGAAAAATCAGATTATCCCGTCTTACAATTTCCTCAAAGCCCTTTTGATTTCTGATGAGAGGGTGATTAGTATTCTGAAGCACAAGCCGTGGATCTTCCTCGATAATCTGTCGAAAAATGTGATGCCGAATATCGGTCTTCTGCGAGATTTGGGGATGCCGGAATCCTCCATAGCTTTGCTGCTTGCGCAGTACCCCAACATTTTGATGAAAAAGCATGAATTGTTCAGTGAGATTGTGAATGAGGTGAAAGAATTCGGATTCGAGCCCGAGAAATCAAACTTTGTGCCGGCAATGCGGGTGATGTCCGGTAAAAATCAATCTTGAAACGAAACCAAGAGGCTTACAGAAAATGTGGTTGGTCGGAGGATGAGATCCTCTCTGCTTTCAGGTCCAATCCCTTGTGCATGACGAAATCGGAGAAGAAGATAGCGGAGACGATTGATTTCTTGGTGAACAAGATGGGGTGGTCCTCGGCCGCCATTGCGAAATGCGCGACGGTGATGTGCTTGAGCTTGGAGAGGAGGATCGTGCCGCGGTGTTTGGTTTTCAAATTGCTGGTGGCAAAGGGGTTGGAAAAAGAGAATTTGAGGTTGTCGAGTGTGGTTTATCCGGCGGAGAAGCAGTTCTTGGAGAGGTTTGTGAGTAGACATGAAGTGCAACTTCCTCAGTTGTTGCTTGTGTACCAAGGAAAAGTGGATATCCAAGATGTATTGATTAATTGAAATTTGTATCGTATGATTCAATGAGAATGACGAAAAAGGAGATTAATTTCGGTGATTTGTTCAATTTAAATTTTGATCTTTGTGTTTTAAATTTCTTCAATTTAATCATTGTGTTACGTAATCACGACCTGGTGGTCCAGTGGTAAATGACGGATTACGAGGCTTCTTTAAAATAAAAACCCGAGGTCTCTAGTTCGAAACTCATTGCTGGTGTGGAAGTCAAACTTGTGGTCAATGGTGGGTGGATAATCGTAGCTTACCACCAGTGATCTAGTTATCTCTCTGTTTACATGCACAAGGGATATGTGTTTCGTGTTGTCTCTCTTGTGGAAGTCCAAATTTGTGTTTCGTGTTGTTACAAAAAATTTGAAATTATGTTATTTAGTTAAATTCAACCCACTAAATCAATTCGTTTATTTGATAAATAAATTGAGTATCGCCACTTGAATTGTGGTGTAGTGATATTTGTTTCCATGTGTTTGTAGGAGTCTCAAGATTCGACTTTCATAGATTGTGTGTTAAATGCTTAATTAAGCTTGGTGAATCATACGATACAAATGAGCAAGTTTCTCATTCGTTTGCTCTGATGAGGCAAGTGAGGTTCTCATAGACTCATCTTTTATTAAGGCGGAAAGAGTCTGCTGCGGTCATCAACGACACAGTAAGCCATAACTTTCGCATCTTATTGTGCCGCATCGAGAGCATGGTAGCCATAACTTTCGTATACGTTTATCGTACCATTTGGTCATGGTCACATTCTTTGCAAAGCAAATCGACATCTGCTCCAACCAATTTGCTTAAGAGGCTTTCTCTAGTGCCCGTTTAGATTGCACATCTAAATAAAAACTGTTAGATCATTTAACTTACTAGAATCTAACGGCTCTCGTTCAGATTAACACGTAAAATGAAATCAAGCTTCCAAAATTTGCATTGGACGGTCCAAAAGGTTTAATAGTAGTCTTTGGTGCAGCCCCAATTAGCAACAAAGCCCATTCAGGTTCCAGCCCAAACAACTCATGTCCAAACGGTTGGACTACTACATCTTGTTTGAATGTGTTTTTAAAATGATTGAAATCGTTTTTGGTGAAAATATTTCACCTATTAACGCTTTTAGTAATTTTAAAAACATATCAAACCGAGAGCCACGTCGCCACACGCAGCCGCTGAGCTTCATCGATTCGTGCTATTTCAGTATCTATAATTATATGTACTATCTGCAGCTGGAATGTATCTATATGTGTATCTATAGGTTTCCATTTCAATGGTGGAGAGGAGGAGGAGGAAGCCACTGGTGCTTACTTCCACCAAAAGTCTCGTCAATTCCGTACTGAGTGAAGACCGCCCAGTCGACGGCGGCGGCGATGGCGACGAGTCTACGAGCTTGCAGTTGCCGCCGGGGATTCTTCGGCTGTCTAAGGACAGAACGGTCCTTTCAAACAGCCCCAAATTGGCTTCTCTCGACGACTCTGCTTTGGTCGGGCTGTCCACTTCTGCCCTCAAACGGCTCTCCATCACCTCCGGCTCGCTGGTACTTGTTCCAATGTTGATTCATATAAATTTTCCTGCTTTCTGTTTGGTTGCCGGGAAAATTGATCAAAGTACAAGAATTTACACTTGAATCCAAGCTGAATTTCCCGGCTAAAGTCTCAAGTTATCGAAATTTCGATTTCCAGAATGAATTATGGTAGAATGTTGTTGATTATGAATACATAATTGTGATTTTAAAGAATATTGAATCCAATTAAATTCGCAGATAAAACTAAAATGATCAAATTTTGATTTTGGAAAGATTGAAATTCATTAGTTAGATTTTTTGGGTTGAAGATTACACTAGAATTTTCTGTTCAGCTAGTAATTGATACCAGTATTCTATGTTGTTTTCTGGTTCGGCTGGATTTCGAATATACAAGGTGATTGTGAAGAATGTGGAGACAAACATACAAAGAACCGCTCAGGCCATTGTTCTTGATCCTCCGAACAGCCATGATTGCGCCGTGGAGATTGAACAATCCTTGTCTGAATTTTCTCACGCAATGCTTATTTTGCCTTGTTGTACTTTCCCTGGAAATGATCGAATTTTGTTGAAGCGGGAAGTTGCCTATATATCACCTCTATTAGCATATAACCTTGACTTGCACACATTGTGCTTCAAATCACTCGTTCATAGAGGGGAAGAGACTTTGGCATCTTATTTTGGAGAGAAAGTTGATGATGAGGTGAGCAGAAAAGGCCTTGAGGATTCTGTAGTTGGATTGCAGTTGGAGCCTCAGCCTCAGTTGCCGAGATATGCTTCTCATTTGAGAGCTTCTTTCGTGAAGGTACCGGAATGTGGTACACTTGACTCTCTTAAAGGAAATTCGTCCGTTGAATATGAAGATCGTCAAGAAATGATAGATTTGGCACTACATAACTACTTTGGAGTTGATAGGTTTCTAGCAAGAGGTGATATTTTCAGTATTTGTATAAATTGGACTTGCAAGTCAATGATGTGCATTCCTTGCAACCAAAGTTCACAAGATGGAAGCGATAACATCTATTTCAAGGTAATTTCCCTGTATTGTTCTTCCTAGCAAAAAAAGAATCTTAATATTGTTCTTTGGTTGCTTTTATACTCAACATATAGTACCAAGTCTGATCACAGGGTAAATTAATATCCTTAGGTTGTGGCCATGGAACCTTCAGACGAATCCATTCTCCGAATTAATCGCTCTCAAACAGCCCTTGTGCTTGGAGGGAGTGTCTCTTCTGCTGTACCCCCAGACTTATTGATTGCTGGAAAACAAGGTTTTGCACCTTTGCAAGGGGACACCGTAAAAATATTGGCTTCCATACTAGCACCGCCTCTCTGCCCATCAGCACTATCTTCAAAATTCAGAGTTTCAGTTCTCCTGTACGGATTGGCAGGTGAGTTTGATTTTTTCTTTTGTACTTTGCTTTTCATGGTGGCTTTGATGTTTAAATTGGAATGGTCTCTAACAAGATCACTCATCTGCAACTGTATGCAATCATCTTTGAACCTATTACCAGTTAGTAACAAAGATGTTGACCAAAAACCTGTCTGTTCTGGTTAAGATGTATTTTTCATGTGCCCAAGTGTGTAGTGTTATTAAGTACTGATTCAATGCTCACTGCAGGATGTGGTAAGAGAACTGTTGTTAGATACATTGCTCGTCGATTGGGCCTGCATGTAGTTGAATATAGCTGTCACAATCTAATGGCATCATCTGATAAAAGGATGTCTGTTTCACTAGCTCAAACCTTGAATACTGCTCAAAGGTGAGGCAGCACAAAGTGTTTAGATCTCGTAAAATTTGTCAGTTACGTTGCTCTAATACTGTCACATATACTTGGCAAGGCAGGCACAATCGTATTCATTTTTGTTACGTGTCTTTCAGTGATATTGTTAATTGCTGTATCAATAATTATCTTTGCATCATTTATTCAAACTTTTGTGAGAAGCCAGTCCATGCTTTTCTATCGTTGTTTTCTCTGTTATATTTGACAGTTTATCATTGTTTTTGTAGATTATTTCTTCTTTATATTGTTGCTTTTTTTTCTTATGCCAATTATGCTATCAGATACTCGCCAGCAATACTTCTTCTCCGCCATTTTGACGTTTTCCGGAATTTGGGCTCTATTGAAGGTTCACCAAGTGATCAAGTTGGAATCACTTCTGAAGTGGCTTCACTTATCAGGGAATTCACTGAGCCAATTTCTGATGAAGGAGACATGGATTTTGAAGGAAAGCACAATGGTGATACTGTAAGATGCAAATGCTTTAGATCCACATATCTTGGTTTAGGATACTTATAGAAACTTAGTCATTTTGATTCTCTCGAATGATAAATAGTTGTAATATGAATTTCTAATAATCTGTGCCTATTCATTTTGCATGGGTGTCCGTCCATTGATCTATAACTTTTTTGTTTATTATTTTTAATCTTAGTGGGGCATGTGCAGGATGCTGGGAAGATAGGAAGGCATCGGGTGCTGTTAATTGCAGCTGTTGACAGTACTGAAGGTCTACCACCAATTATTAGACGCTGCTTTAGCCATGAAATAAGTATGGGTCCTTTGACCGAAGAACAAAGGGTGAAAATGGTGTCACAGTCGCTGCAAACGGCTTCTGAACTTTTTTCTAATGTATGTGAGCAAATGTGTTGTTTCTATGTACCTTTTGTGTGCGGTTTTTTTTAATAGAAGTATAACTATGATGCATAGGCTATTCTTAAAAGCTGACCAATTATATTATATATATATATATATATATTCTTATAACCATGATTTGATCTTGTGTTGGTTGATACTCCACATGGTATTCATTGTAGTTTTTTTTGATCAAATTGGTGACTTTGATGGATCAGATTGTTGTTATTTGCAGACTGGTTCAGAGGAGTTTATAAAGGATATAGTTGCAGCAGACATCTGGTTTCATGCCTAGAGATATCCATGCTTTGATTGCTGATGCTGGTGCTAACTTGATTTCCAGAGGCAATGTTCTGATTGACACTGTGAAGTCGGAGGAATCAGATGGATCTCTCAGACCTGATGTGGAATCTGATAGTAAGTCCTCTGCAGTCGCACCTCAGGTTCTGAGGAAAGAAAACTTGACAAAGGCATTGGAGCGTTCAAAGAAAAGGAATGCAACAGCCCTGGGTACACCAAAGGTAATTTAGAGACAAGACTAACTTCAGTGTAATATTTTATTGTTTCTAAGAGTTTTATCTTTGATGTGGGAGGTAATAAAGATTTACTGCTAGAATCAGCAAGCAGTGTAGTAGTAATCTCATAGAACATTTTGAGTATATACAAGGAATTGTAAAAGTCATTTTTCCCATAGGTCCCTAATGTGAAATGGGATGATGTTGGCGGTCTTGAGGATGTCAAGAAGTCAATTCTGGATACTGTTCAGGTAGGCACTCTTTGTATATCTAAGCCTTTGTATGTTCGTTAGCAAGATTCCAGTAACTGGAAATTGGAAGTCTTCACTTACTTTTTGCTGTATTTGTAGCTACCTCTTCTGCACAAGGACTTGTTTTCATCTGGTTTACGAAAGCGGTCTGGTGTTCTTCTATATGGTCCACCCGGAACTGGGAAAGTAAGTTGCTCTGGACTTATCAATTTGCCCTCTTCCTCGCCTGGAGTGATTTGTTTTTTGCCACCTTTGATTTTCTTATTAATCCACAGACTCTACTGGCAAAAGCCGTTGCAACTGAGTGTTCCCTGAACTTTCTCAGCGTAAAAGGACCTGAACTTATCAATATGTACATAGGAGAGTCAGAAAAGAATGTTAGAGACATCTTCCAGAAGGTAAAGAATTCCACTATGATCAGTTGATCAGTATCCCTTCAATGAAAGAAGCTTATGATATTGGTTTTATATATAAATTTCAAAACATCCATTTCAAGTTTGAACTCGTGATTAAGTGATATTGTACATACTTTGCAGGCCAGGTCAGCACGCCCATGTGTTATATTTTTTGATGAACTTGATTCTCTTGCTCCAGCCCGTGGTGCCTCGGGGGATTCTGGGGGTGTTATGGACAGAGTGGTTTCTCAGGTGAAGTCTCCTTTTCTTTTTTTTTCCTCATGACTTCCGCATAATTTTTTTTAAGGAAAACTAATGAAAAGGGCCTCAAATCTTTACATTTTAATAAATAAAAAACCACCCACTAACTTTATTTAATAACAAGGACAAAAGACTAATTTTAAAAAAAAAAAAAAAAAAAAAAAAAAAACCAAACACTTCCAACTTGCGCTGGGGACGCATACCCCCCAAAACTTCAAACACTCCATTTTTTCTCCCATCTTTTTGTTTAATAGATTTTGTTTTTATTTTCCTACCCCTCGCTGTCGCCGTCACCTTTGGTCGACGCTTCAGACTCGCCTCATGTGGCAAGGCTGAGTTATATGAGGTCAGGAGGTGCTGCCTCTGTGACTGTAAGGTTCAGTCCGGTTAGCAGTAGTTACATGGATGAGGATATTCCACTGCCGCCACCGTCTCCTCTGCCGGATGAAGATTCTTCCTGGGATTACTTTGATCCTGTGGATGAGAGTGAGAGCTTTAGGTTTGTGGGAAGTAGTGGAGTGGATGTGAATTTTGATGATATCAAAGGGTGGAGACAGGGGAGGAGTGAAGAAGCTAGTCATAGTGTGGGGGAGATGGGAAGATGGGCAAAGGTTGGATTAGATGGAAGTAATGAACATTTTGAAGTTTCTGGTAATTCAATTAACCAAAACGATAGTAGTGTAGATGGTAACGCGAATTCGCTAAACTCGGGAGTTGATGGGTCTCTGCAAACAGGCAATGGTGAAGGGAGACAGTTAGTTGTGGGACGTAATGCCAATGGTGGAGCTACAAGTTTGACAGGCAAAGTTGGTGTTGAGCAGTCTGGTTCAAAGAAGGAGAAGAATGTGGGGGAGAAGGATTTATGTGCAGAAAGAGAGGACCCTTCAGAGTTTCATTTTAGTAAGTTTTCATAAACAGTGTCGTAAGTTTCATAAATAGTGTCGTAAGTTTTCATAAACAGTGTAGTAAGTTTCATCAACAGTGTAGTAAGTTTCATAAACAGTGTACCGTGAGTCCGTGCATCAGATTTTTTGTCATTTTTATTAAAATTATGTCTTTTTCATTAAAATTTAAGTTCTTTTGCCCTTTTTATTAAAATTTAAGGGTTTTTCATTAAAATTTAAGTCTTTTTAATTAAATAAAGTTAAAGCATGGTTTTTATTAAAACAAACTTAGTCCAAGCCCTTTTCATGAAAATTCCCTTTTTTATGATTCCATTGATGTTTTCTAAATGTGATAAGTTTTCTGTTTCGCTAGATGCTTGCAGAGATCGACGGCCTAAACGATTCAACACAGGTTATTGTCCTGGTATCTTCCTTTCTTAGAATAAGAAAGAAACTATACCTCACGCTTTATTTGGTTTGTACTAGGACTTGTTTATAATTGGAGCAAGCAACAGACCAGATTTGATTGACCCAGCACTTCTACGGCCTGGACGATTTGATAAACTGCTTTACGTTGGAGTAAACTCTGAAGCATCTTACAGAGAGCGGTTAGTATTCTCACATTTTCGGTTTCATGCCTTCATGTTTAAGAGACTAATCAAATAATGCATGTCAATGAATCTTTTCTTCACATTCTTAATGGCATCTCTTCTAGGGTCCTCAAAGCACTTACCCGAAAGTTTAAGTTACATCAAGACGTACCACTTTACTCCATAGCAAACAGATGTCCCCCGAACTTCACTGGTGCAGACATGTACGCATTGTGTGCAGACGCTTGGTTTAATGCAGCAAAGCGCAAGGTGAGTCAGATAAACTAATATCCTCGCTACATGTTAATGCTATCTGATATATGGGGTGTTAAATGGTAAGGTAATTAAGAGCGGAAGTGCATTTATGTTTTATTTCCGTAAAGTTGGAATATCCACCCATAAACCAGTTAACAAACGAGTTTTGAGACACCGAGGATTTCATATACTGAGATTGAAAACCTTCAAGTGCTCGATGTAGGACCTTGTATTGTCAAGATCATCCTGGACATTTTCTAGTCGACACTCAATACATGTGTAAATTTTTATCACAATAAACCTAACTAGATAAAGGAATGGTCCTGTATTGACTGATGGTATTTCATGCTCCCTTTCTGGTGCTGACGTTTGGTTTCGTGTAGGCTTTGAGTTCGGATTCAGATTCTTCCCGCACAGATGAACAATCGGACTCTGTTATTGTCGAATATGATGATTTTATCAAGGTATGACAATTGCTCTTCACTATGATTGAAGAATGTGAATAGTTATGTGTATTACCATACAAAGTGCTTCTCCAAAGCCAGTTTCTGGATTATCGCCTGACTGCCTTGTCCTCCCGTCTTATAGGTCTTAGGCGAGCTTTCTCCGTCGCTCTCCATGGCCGAGCTTAGAAAGTACGAGTTGCTGCGTGATCAGTTCGAAGGAGCTCCCAAGTGAATTCCCATCACATTAAAATGATCTGTGGGGAATCTAGTCTTTGAATCACTTATTATATAATCAAGTGTATAATGATATCAGTTTGTACTTCGAGGTTAGAAAAAGAAATATAGAAAACAGAAGAATAAGGAAAGATAGTATTTCCTTGCATGTAGGGTGAGCCTTGGCATAATCGAAATGTTGCTTCTTTGTGACCGAAAGGTCAGGGGTTCAAGTCGTGGAAACAGTCTCTTTTCAAAGCAAGGTAAAGCTACGTACGATAGAAGTTCCCCTCCCGACCCTCATAAAGGCGGTAGACTTGTTGGTTTGGAGCTGCCTTTAATATTTCCATGCGTGTACCATTAATTTGAAAAGGAGGTATTTGTTGATTTATCGTCTGAACTTTAATGTACAATAGGATCAAATTGTCGACTTTAGAACTACATTCTTCATTGGATCATGCTTTTTCTTTTCTTTTTTTCTCTCTGATATTTTAGGTTTAATTCTCGTAGATGACGAGTTTGATTACTTAATTATAGTTGGTTCATTATGTGGCTTACCTCAAGTCTCCACTCCACAATATTGTTGTATCAAAGAAAAGAAAACAAATTGACAGTCTATTCTAAACTAAGATAAAGGAATCCAAGTATCATAAAGCGTCATAAGGTACACATAAAATGAGGTCGACTTGGACCTATAAATAAATTGGACCAGAGGAAAAGTCATGCCGATTAAGAACGGATGTCCGATAATGGGCATGTACATGTTTCACACAATATTGTAGCACGTGAATTATTTGTTAATGCTACACTCCAAACCATAAGGGCATGTTTGATGGTCTAGTTGGAATAAGTTGTGACCAATTAAAATATATTTGAGTTCAGTTCGTTGTTTGTTGTGTCAAAATATGAGATGACAGGTTTCAAGTCATATCTGACCAATCCCTACCAACCCAATCCTATCTAGCCTAACCAATCCTTGCCAATCCAATTTTATTCTTAAGGCCAGAGGCCATCTAGCCTTACATTTGTATTATAACACATGACTAGTTGCTATTATATCATGTGACTATACCATATCATAACTTTTCGAAGATGTGTACAAACTTTTTTTTTTTTTTTTTTTTTGTCTTTTAATAAACGATATTATCTGCATTAAAGGGAGGAGGAATAAAAAATAAAACAAAGTAAAATAAGTGTGGGGTTGGTGGGGCTAAGCCTCACACTGCGCTAGACAATAATGTGATTCAAATTCGTCTTTAGCGAGAATCGAACTAAGACCTCTTACTTACAAATGAAGAGAAATATTAAGAAACCGTAGTATTAAGTGGCGTGTACAAAACATCGTTTAAATTCCATTTCTGATACTAAAATGCTTCTGTTTTTTGTTTTTTGTCAATTGGAAATACTAAAAGAATGCTATTTATGCTTCAATTTGGCGTTTGGAATCTTTGGATGGTCAAATTAAAGAGCACAAATCCAAGCACATTCTTTCATAATTAGCGAGGAGTATATTCCAAAAACCTTGTCCTATACTAACATTGAAGGACATGCTTCCCATTTGTAGGACCCAATTAGTGCCTTGTACTTTTAATAAAAAATAATTGTTGTCACTTAGTATCACGGTCTAGTGGTATTTCTCTTCATTTGTAAATAGTGAGGTTTTAGGTTCGATTCTCGTCAAAAGGACAACTTGAACCACATTATTAGCTAACCCATTGTGAGATTAATTCTACCTTCTTCCCTTAGTATAAATAATATCGTTTGTTTAAAAAAATAAAAAATAATTGTTACTATTTTTTTTTTAACAAACGATATTATCTAGCTAAGAGATGAGGTGGGTTAAACCTCACAATGAGTTAGCAATCATGAAGTTCAAATTCGTTTTTGGCAAAATTCAAATCTAAATTCTCTTACTTACAAATAAAGAGAAATATCATTATACTGTAGCATTAAGTTGCAATAAGTATTGCTATTTATAAGCTTACTAATTACTTGATGCCTTCTGACCGTCCATTTATATACAAAAACATCTGCCTTTACTACTTACTGATTTCCTTTTGATTTTCTGATATTTATTGCTAATCATTATCATTAGTCAGTTTCCCAAAAAATAAAAAATAAAAAATAAAAATTATTATCATTAGTCTCCATGATTTACGTCACGAATATTATTCGACTTTTTACATGCAATGAGGCATTTATTAGTATTTGCAAGATTTTTTTTTTGGGAAGTATTACGGGCATTCTAAAAATTTCATTCTACACTCCTCATAAGTGTTTTTTTTTTTCTAATATAGAAAGTTTAGAGTTTAGAATAAAATTTTTGAAGTGCTAATAACAATTCTTTTTTTTTTTAATCATAAATACATTTGCATAACGAACCCAATAAAATCATAAAAAAGAAAAGTAATTTATATCTAACAGACTCTAAGAGCACATGAAAAGTTTTATGCAAACAAATCAACCCCATTTACCCGCCCGTAGAAAGTTGTAATGGGACACCATTTAGTATCAAACTCACCATAAAAGTATATTATACATGCACTCGTGTAAGTCAAACATAAGATGTTCTCTAATTAAGTAGACATAGTACCGCTGATCGTGAAAAAAAAAATCAAAGAACTTTGGTTACGTTCATTGTTAACTTATGGGACAAAAAGCACCGCATATTTTTGTCTCAATTCTCAAGTGCAAATGTATTTGTCATTTAGTATTACATTTTAGTGATATTTTTCTTCATTTATAAGTGACGGGTTTTAGGTTCAATTCTCGTAAAATGCAAATTTGAATTACATTACTACTAGCCTATTATGAAGTTTAATTTACTTCCTTACTCCCTTAATATAAAAAAATATCGTTTATTAAAAAAAAAAAAGTGCAAATGTACTTTAGAAAAGAAAAACAAAACACATGCTGCTTTAGGATGGGCCTCTCACGTCACCTGCCTCGTGTATTTCGTGACTTTCATTCTTCACGGTGGGGTTTCCTACTTTGGTTTTAGATATTGTTCCAATAACAATAACAAAATAATGTTTGTCGATTGAGAGATTTTTACAAAACGAGAATACTTACTGCAGTGTTCCGAGTCATTAATATGAAGTCTTACAAAAATAAAATTACACATTATTTTATATTATTATGTGAATCACACGATGATGAGCAGCTGGTCTTTTCTTGAAAAAATATATTTAATAAAATAATGAGTTTTTAAAGGGAATTAAAATAATGGCATTAAAAAATAAAACCTCACTTTAAAAGCAAGCATTGTGCACAAGAACGGAATTGGAAAAGATAAAACTGCATATGTGATAACGAAATTGACAGCAAGAGCATCGGATGGTATTTTGTGGATAATCTATGTAAATGCTCCCAACCAATTATGTGGGTCCCTTCATATTTGTGGCGTGGTTATATCTGTCTGGATAGACGGAAATGGCTATTCTCCGGATCCCTTTTATCTGAACCCACTTAGCATAAAATTTAGGTCTTTGAAATTTGATTCAACGACTAAAGTTATTATAACTTTTAAAATAGCCTCTTGTTTTTATTCGTTGAATCAAATTTAAGAGCCCGAATTTTGTGCTCAGTTGACTTAGGTGGAAGGAATTCGGAAATGATCCATTTTTTATATAGATGACAAAAAGAGTGAAGTTTTTATAATATTTAAATTGTCAGTCGCTAATGAAGATTTTTTTGAACAAAATATATTACCTACATTGAGGGGAAGGAAATGAGCTTAGTTTCACAGTAGGCTAGCAATAATGTGGTTCAAATTCGCCTTTAGCGAGATGTGTTATGTTCAATTCTCGACAAATGTGAATTTGAACCACATTATTATAGCAAGTCCATTGTAAAGCTTACCACTCCCCCACCCCTTTAATGTATACTATTGTTTGTTAAAAAAAAAAAAAAGAAAAAAAAAACATGTAGGGTACTTAGTAAGTTAATTATTATTTTTAAATATATTTTAATAAAAAATTAAAATTAAATTAAATTAAATTAAAACAAAAAAGTTAAATAATAAAAAAGTACTCCTAAGTTGATAAGCACGAGTTAGGAATAATTCTTCACGGTGGGGTTTCCTACTTTGGTTTTAGATATTATTCCAATAACAATAACAAAATAATGTTTGTCGATTGAGAGAGATTTTTACGAAACGAGATTATTTACTACAGTGTTTCGAGTCATTAATATAAAGTTTTACAAAAGTAAAATTACATATTATTTTATATTACTGTGTAAATCACACTATGGTTAGTCTCACCTGCCATTAGCAGCTGGTCTCTTTTTGAAAAATATATATAATAAAATAATGACTTTTTAAAGGGAATTAAAATAATGGCATTAAAAAATAAAACCTCACTTTAAAAGCAAGCATTGTGCACAAGAACGGAATTGGAAAATAAAACAACTGAAATTGACAGCAAGAGCATAAGATGGTATTTTGTGGATAATCTATGTAAATGCTCACAACCCATTATGTGGGTCCCTTCATAATTGCGGCATAGTTTTATCTGTTTATATAGACGGCAAAAAGAGTAAAGTTTTCATAATATTTAAATTGCCCTTCTCTAATGAAGATTTTTTTTAACAAACGATAGGTAGGTAGGCAGGCTTAACTTCATAGTAGGTTAGCAATAATGTAGTTCAAATTCGCCTTTGACGGATAGACCTTACGTTCAATTCAATTATCGCCAAAAGTAAATTTGAATCACATTATTATGGCAAGCTCATTGACTCACTTTCCTACCCCTTAGTGTATACTATTGTTTGTTAAAAAAAAACATGTAGGGTACTTAGTAAGTTAATTGTTTTTTAAAATATATTTTAATAAAAATAATAAAATTTAAAATAAGTAAAATTAAAACAAAAGAGTAAAACAATAAAAAAAATACTCGTAAGTTGACGAGCACGAGTTAGGAATAATTCAGACTATCATTTCAAGTAAGTAAACATATGTTAGCTATTTTAACATTTTGCAGTTACAATGAATGTAAAAAGGAAGGCAATGATTTGAAAATATATTTTAACTATTTCAAAGTACGTGTTTGAACACTTCTTCTATGTTCACCGGCAAATAAATAAATTTTAAATTAAGTTCATATTAAAATGAATGACTGACTAACATATTATCTGATGAACAAATTTTAGTATATATTGTATCACAGAACTCAAATTTTCCAATTTGTCCTTGAAAATTCAATAATCTTGTATTGATTTCAACCAACGGTTGTTATACAAAGCTCAAGAAACAACATTGAAATAACTAACAATTTGTCACACATGAGTTACAGTGAATTATTGCTTCCGATAACTAAATTGAAATTAAAAATAAATAAATAAATAAACTCCAGACATGACAACCACATAAAGATAGGGACATTTTTGTCTTAAAACATATGTAAGCATGGGAAATGGGTCATTTCCGGATCCCTTTCATCAAATTCACTCAATCAATCAATTTAGATATTTGAAATTTGATCAAACGGCTATAAATAGGGAATCTCTTTAAAAATTATAATAATTTTAACCATTATATCAAATTTCAAAGATCCGAATTAAGTTGATTGGGTGTATTTTATGGAAAAGATACGAAGAACATCCCTTTCCGTAAGCATAGACCGGTCAACCAGTTGAAGTTTGCTGTCTCCAGTATCCACCAAACCCACTTGGTGCGTGCTTCTTTCTCTTTCAATATTATTATTATTATTTTAATTATTTTCTTCTGTGAAACACTGTGGTAAATACTAAATAATTCCTTTTTTAAATTAATTTCGAATTTATATTTTTCGTTTTTGATTTTCCAGTGTTGCTCTGCTCTAATTTTTTTTTTTTTTTTTTTACTTTTTTTTTTCCACCTATTTAAGTCGTTTTTTACAGTACGGAAAAGTCCTGTTTGGGGGGATAGGTATAAAAGAACATGCTTGATTCGCCAGCTGACAAGTGGATAAATGGTAGAGAGTTTTTTCTCCCCCACGCGCTTGGATTCTATCGAGTTTGCTTTTGTGCCCCGAGCTTGCAATAGGGCGGCTTGTTCGGTGGCTTTGTATGTTAAACCGTAATGAAGGTTACCATAGATCGAGATTATTGTTTCCTAAATTTTTATTCGATATTTTTGTTGAGAATGTAAATATTGTTATCTGAATTGATTAATAAACTATCCGATTTGACCAAAAAAAAAAAAAAAAGACAAAGTTGCTGCATACAAAATAAATTTTTTTTTTAAATGAGACAATTAATAACAAGTCACGATGTTACAATCTAACATGCCAGATAGTTCAAAACAAGATCCTAACAAATCAATTGCTCAGATTACAATTTCTCAACATAACATGCCAACTAGTTCAGAGTAATATTCTACTATTCAACATTGCATGCCAAATGTTCACATCTAGTCCCAATTACTAGATTTTAACTGATAAATGACTAAATTTACAGTCTGGCACCATAATGTGCAAAATAGTTCAAACAAGATTGTTGAACCAATAATTCAAATTTATAGTTTGGCAACATGACATGTCAGATTGTTAAAATATGATTCTCTTGATCTTATGATTCAAATTGAGAGTCTAGAAACTTAGCATTTCGAGAGTCCATACGAGATTATGTTAAATAAATGATCCTTGTTTACAGTCTGACAACACAAAATATCAGGTACTTCATGCAAGATTTGACTAATAAAATAATCCAAATTTATAGTATGTTTTCCTCTAATTCAAAAACGAAATTACTCTTCTCGAAACGCTATCTACATATTATTCCAAGTATAACAATCTATACAAGGTACCATTTAGACCATCTCCAATGGTTGGGCTAAAAGCCAAAATTTTTAGCCCAGAAACAACTTTTCTGCTCCAACCGTTCTGGCCTAAAATTTTAGCCCGGGATTATTAAATAATGAACTTATGCTATTTTTTTTGTTAAATTAATTTTTTTTTTAAAAATAAATATGTAGACTATCGTAAATTAATTTTATGAACATTTTAATCTAAAAAAATTTAAATTCCGATAAATATTGAAAAATCACTAAATTTAAATTCAAGCTCCTCAATGTCATGACACACTCCGTAAAGATTTGGTTGAGCATGTATGGCGCCGAGAAGGTGAACGTTGATGATGTTGGTTATGCATTTATGTAATAATTTTAAGTGTACTATGTTGTTATTTTCTAGTAATAAATTTAAGTGTCTTTTTGTGCAAAGTATTTTGTCTAGTACGTTGGATAAATGATAAAATGGAGGTTGAATTATTGAAGGCATCTATTCTACATCAAAGTGGGGAATAATAAGACATAAATTATTGGATAATTAATAAGACATAAATTATAATTCACAAACCACAATTAATAAACTTAATTAATAAAGTACATAATTAATAAAGCACATGATTAATAAACTTAATTAATAAAGTACATAATTAATAAACTTAATTAATAAAGCACATGATTAATAAACTTAATTAATAAAGCACATAATTAATAAAGCACATAATTCATACAACTACATAAACTTAACAATCATATCCACTATCTTCACTTGGTAATGGATTTCGTTGAAATGTTGGGATATAGGGTTGAGAAGATTCATTATCTTGAAACATACTCCTTGAGGTAGACTTTCGCATAATTTCCTTTTGCTTACCACGTAAGAACTTCTTCCTCTCTGGAGTGTATTGGCTGAGGTCCTTCATCATGAATTCAATTTCAAACCTATTTTCCTCCCTATCCGAGATTTCCTTCATTTGCAAACGCATTCGAGCCGCTTCTTCTTGGCAAGCGCTATGAGTTTCGTTCAATTTTGCCATTCCGGTATCAAAGTGTCCACTCATCAGATCTTGGGACTTCCCTTTTCTCTTTGCTTCCTTTTGCTTATCTCTTCCTGGGGGCCTTGCAAAAGAAGGAGATGGGGTCATTTCATCGACACCTTCAGCAACACCTTCATCTTCGGCATTTGTCTGTGCAGCTTCACGTTGAAATAATCTTCCCCATTGTTGGTCCGCATCGGTTCCCCACCTTGGACAATCCTTGAGGATGTCCCAAGCATGTTGCAACTTAAAAACTTGATTTTTTGGTGTTACTCTTGTCTTGTAAATTTCCATTGCTTTGTCACCCTATGCAAAAAATACATAAAAATAATTAGTTGCAACATAATATTATGTACATGACAAATAAAATATCAAGAACAAAACTCACAATTTCTATGGCGCTCCTCCCACTAGCCATGCCAACCACGGCTCTCTCCAAGCTTCCCTTCCATAAAGTGCATGCTTTGTTGATAGTCTTCCACCGATCATAAACACCACCACCATCCCGCCTGCTACCATTGCAGTTTTCTTGAAACTTTGCAATGATTTTATCCCACAAAACCTTCTTATTTTGATTAGTGCCAACTGCACCATCTTCGCTAACAGAAACCCATGCCAAGCATAGAGCAACATCTTCCTCACAAGTCCAATTACGACCTCTAATATGCTCTCTTGCCATGTTGAACAATTTGGAAATGGAAAGAAATGGTAGAAAGATAAATTGGAAGAATTGTAAGAGAAATTTGAGTTTTGTGTGGATGTTTGAACAAATACATAGGTATTTATAGAGTTTTTGGGTGAATTTTGAGTTAAATAATTTTTTTTAATTATTTTAACCGTTAGATTTAAATTTGGGCCGTTAGATCTTTTTTTTTACCGTTAGATTTGATTATATTTGATCTCAGCCGTTGGATTCAATGTATTTTAAAATAACATATTTTAAAAAATCAAATTTGAATTTGGACCGTTGGATCAACCAACGGTCCTTGAAACACATCCGTTGGATTGCAAAAATAGCCGTTGGACTTCATCTGGGTGGCCGACAACCCGCTGACAGCGGGGCCCACCCTGTCGGGCACGGTCTGCAAGCGCTCCGCGTGGGGCGCGTTCGCGAGTGAGCGGGCCGAGACTGGCCTTTGGGCCAGCGAGTCCAGTCGTGGGGGGGGGGGAATCTGGGGGGAATTTGGCCCAACTTTAACATTTGGCATTTAGCCCATTGTTGGAGATGGTCTTAAGAAATTGTAAATATATTTTTAAAGTAACTCAGTAATGCTTTTATTGATTATTTATTCCAACGTTAGTTTTTAATTTCATTACAACCTACGTTCAAGTAATTATAGAAACTCGATATAAAATCCAGCATGAAAAATAATCCATATAAACATATATTATATGAAAACATATATTTTTGGTAATCAAAAGTTTAGAGATAAGGGAGACTATTCTATTACAGGACATACCACAAGTCTCTTTGAGGACTTACGTAAGAGTCCTAGCCCCTTTTTTAGTTTTTGCAGGTCGCCAACCAAGAGGAATTGCCAACAACGGTACTCGAACCTAGATTTTAATTTATAATAAAAAACGATCCTTACTAACTCAACCAACTATCGTTGGCTTATATGAAATAGATTTCATAACGACATTATGCTCGTACGTTTTAACTAATTAACAAACTTGTAATCTATTGTAGAACATTCTTGCTATCACACTACTACAAAAATCACCTGTACTTCACAATTAGAACACTTCACCTATGGAAACTACATTTTTTTTCTCAGGGCCGAAAAAGGGAGAAGCGTGCAACCACGCGCGTATTCTTGCGTCTCAAACTATAAATTCTCAGTCTTTCACAACAGGGCCATTACATAAAAAAGAGGAAATATAGGGGCCAAAACGAAATAAAAGGAAATATGTAAACGGTGTATGCTGGTTAGATCCTGGTTCTTTCCTAATTCTACGTGGACACATAAATTACAAAAATTAATATTATTGCCAGAAAAATATGATTAATTAATTAATTTTTGCTTCGAGCGAAAGAAAATAAAAATAATCAGAAATTAAGAAACCGGCTGCTGTAAACACCAAAAACCAGAGAGAGAGAGAGAGAGAGAGAGAGAGAGAGAAAGAGGAGAGAGAGAGAGAGCCCTGCTGAATTAAATTTTCAGCTCAAAAGAATTTACACGCAGAAAGCGTCTCCGAAAAGCATAAGATTGTCGCTGTTGGCGAAATCGGAGCTTTTAGAAACCCAATTGGGTTTGTTTAATTTTATAAATTCGTTTTTTAATTCGGGAAATTTTGGAAGATTTGAATTTTGGGATTTGGGGTTATTGATTTTTGAGGGTGTTTGTGTGATCGGGTGGGAATTTGATTGATAGGGATTTTGGATTTTGTTGAATGGGTCGTGGTTTGATTAATAGTTGAAGAATTTGAGAGAGAGAGAGAGATTTGTGGATGATTTCTGTGGGGACTAGGGATGCAAGGAAGGGGATAGAATTAGGGTTTGCAGGTAGGATAGAGATGGAGGATACTGAGCTTGAAGAAGGCGAAGCTTGCTCTTCCCACATCAATGAATACGATTCCAACATCGATGTCGATGTTGCTCTCTCTTACATCGTAAGCATATAGAAACACATATATGTATTTATACATGTAGATTTGGATATACTTCTGTTTATGCTGCTTAAAAGTTTGATCCTTACATGAATATCGGTTTTGAATTGCTCGAATTTTTTTTGGGTTGACTTGTATGGTGTGTAGATCCGAGCTAATGGAGTTTGATTGAAATTGAATTTTACTTTGATTATGTTAAGAATTTAAGGGCACGTAATGGAACGAGAACTTTTTATTGAATTAAATTTGAGTAGAAATCTCTTACTTGAGCTTAAGATGCTTGAAGACTTGATATTTGCTTTCAGGGAGTGGAGCTGAAGTTTAGGACTTTGTTACTTAGCTCATGGTTGTTGTAATGTACTTGCAGTGTTAACATATCGTATTCGTCCACTTTGTAATGTAAGGATGTATCCCTCTTTGACTTATGGTCTGGCATGAAAATGCTGTTTTGAGGGGTTGGATCATGCGAGTAATTGGTTTTTGCGCTGAACTTACTGGTTATTATAACTGTTTAACGTGCCATATAATGTGCCATGAAAACGATTCAGTTTTGGAATCCATATTGATGTACTGTGTAGTTATGAGTTATATGGGATTGTAAAATCTGAATGTTAGAATCAAGTTGTGTAGAATTTATCTACGTTAGCTTCAAATGCGATGGGTGACCTTTTGGAATTTGAAACTGGGGTTTTGAGATTCTGATACTGATTTAAGTGTTGTTGTAGGGTCATGAAGTGTGATTGCTTTAGGTAGTTAATATTTGGTAGCTCGACAATTTCAAATCTTAAATCATAAAGATGCCTAATCTTATGAAAGCGTTATTGAAGTATAACCGTCTTGTTTCTAGCTCTTATTACTTTGCGTCTCTTTAGACGAGCTTTGCATTTTAATGACAGATACTGCTCTCTCTGGTATTAGGATGATAAAATTCAGGATGTTTTGGGACACTTCCAGAAAGAATTTGAAGGTGGAGTTTCTGCGGAGAATTTGGGTAAGTCAATTTAAGAGGATTACATTATCTCTTGTGCTTGAGAGATTCATTAATTTTAAGTTCCTTCTCTTTAAGTAACGAGTTGGCAATCAATACATTGCAACAGGGGCAAAGTGGGGTGGGTATGGCTCATTTTTACCTTCCTATCAGAGGTCTCCAGTGTCGTCTCATCCAAAGACTCCGCAAAAAGTTCAGAACTGCAGCTTACTCAAATCTCCCAACAATTTGAAACTTGAGGTATCAACTCTCAGCATATGATTTCCTACTTATATCTAGTTCTGTAGACAAACCTTTGTCTTGTAGCGGTTTATTTGACAATTATCAGTGTACTTGAGCATCCTTCATTATTTTTCTACACAGGCTGGTCAACGTAACAACGCAGTTTGTTATAATACACCTCAGTCAGTGGGAGTTGGACCTGCTTCTACAGGTTCCACTTCGCTTGTTGCACCAAAGGCACCCTCAGCAAATGATCCAGTCAAACAAGAAGGAAGTGTGTCATTAATTCAAGCTGACCAGTACGCTCCTCGGCATGAATCTGCAAACAAGAAAGATATTAATTCATCAGACCAGAAAACACTGAAGGTGCGACTTAAAGTGGGATCGGATAACTTGTCAACACGAAAAAATGCTATCTACAGTGGGCTTGGTCTTGATGCCACATCGTCTTCCTCAGTAGATGATAGCCCTTCCGAGAGTGAAGGGATATCTCATGAGCCTCAAGATGCCCCATTTGAATCTCCCACCAGTATTCTTCAGGTGAATCATCTCCCTGTAATATTCAGATGTTTTCTGTTTCTGAAATAGTGTGCTTAATCTAAAACATTTCTTTTGGCGGTGCTCTGGAGCAGATTATGACTTCCTTTCCCATGCATGAGGATATGATGTCACCTCTTCACGATGACCTCATTTACTTAATTGAAAGGAAAAGCTCCTAAAAGAGGGTAGAGTGAATGGAAATCATACCATGGAGGGAGGTGGGAAAGTGTCAGGATCGAGGAAAACAAAATCGGTTGAAAGAAATGATTAGGATGGAACTGGGCTTCTGTCAAAGAAGGAACATGACATTGACATGTTTGCTTGTGAGGAGCTTGTTTCTAAAACCTTGAAGCTCCCACTTCTATCTAGTTCATTTTCTACTGTCAATGATGTGATAAAGAGCAAAGAAATGGATAAGAAAACTTTAGTGAGGGATAAGGTCTTCCCTGGTCAAGCAGAAGATGAACCAATGGAGCCAATTTCCACCCAAGAGGATGGCTGGGTTGAAAAGCGAAAAGCCAAGTTGGCTGGAAAGGTTCAGGAAGATAGAAAAGTGAATGTGAGTGTGGATGTTTTGGTTCATCCAAAGAAAGAGGGCCATTGCAGAGTAGAGAAGACTTATGAATCGGTAAAAGGTGACTTAAATGTTTCCAAAGGGAGGAAAGCTCTAAATACTGAAGTCATGGACCATTCAAAGCAGAAAGTCAATCAGAAGGCTACATCACATGAGGTAGATGATAGAAGACTATTTTCTGGGAAGGAGTATCCAGTACCTGGGGAGAAAAACAAACAGAAGGAAAGTCACAGGACCCTGGTTGCTGAGTTTCCAAAAGAAAGCTCAAGGGTTGGTTCTTCTTCAGCGCCCAAAATGAAGGGCACTCTTGCAAATAGTTCTAATATTGATCAAAGCAGGGATACATATAGAGATTTGTTTGGCGATATAGATGAAAAGAACCAAATGAATTTATCTGAACTGCTGTTTGAAGATAAGCTTAAGGAATCTGATGCTGTTGCAAAAAGCACATCTGCAGTTAACAGTGCGTCAAGGGAGAGACAAAGTGGCAATAAATTTGATAAACCATCAATTGCAGACTCATATCCTATGATGGCTTCAAATATAGCCCCACGCTCTGGAAATGGGCCTGTGTCTGCTGTGCCTCCTGCTACGGGGGCTCCTGCACTGATAAAAGATAATTGGGTGTGTTGTGACAAGTGTCAGAAATGGCGGCTTCTTCCATATGGTACAAACCCGGAGAGCCTACCTGAGAAGTGGCTATGTAGCATGCTTAATTGGCTGTAAGTTCCTTTATCGTAGGCATTTTCTAACCTATCTATCACTACGTTCATTACAGTACATAGTATATCGCTGCATCTACAAAACCTGTAGTGGTATACTGATGTATGCCATTTTATAATTTGTGACTGTTCATTCCAATCTCTCTCGCTTTCTATATCTCTGAAGCTCATCTCTTGATTCAAATGTAGGCCTGGGATGAATCGGTGTAATGTAAACGAGGAGGAAACAACAGAAAAGACGAAAGCTCTAATTGCACAGTACCAAGTTCCTGCCCCTGAGAATCAAATAATCTGCCCAGAAATCCTGGTTTAATGGAGGGAGTGGCATTGCCTAAGCCTCGAAACCCTGACCAAAACCTTGAAAATTTTGGTTTGCCTGCCATGCCTAGTGGTGGAAAGAAAAAAATTGGAGCAAAAGAATTGCCAAATGCAACTAATAAAGATGGTTCCATTCAGTTTCCAAACTCTATGAAGAAAACCATGCAGGCATCGGTGAAGAGTAGAAGCTTGAATGATGTGAATCAGTCTCCACTGCCAAGTGAACCTGATTTGCAGCAGCTAAGCAAGTCCAGTGACATGGCAGTGGAGAAACGAAAACACAAGTACAGGGAGAAGCATAGAGATTTAGAGCGCTCTACTGAGGGGAGGTACTGTATGAAACAGCATTTTTTTTTTTTTTTTTTTTTTTTTTTTGTGCTTTTAAGACTTCCTTAATTAATGTGAATGCTATTTACGTACTAATACAGCATGTCAAACAGGTGACTTCAAGAATTTAAAGATAAAGAATAGAAGAGACTCTGATCCAGATTCTTCTAGAGCTTCCAAGAAAATCAAGACTGAAGTTAAACATATCAATGATGAAGGATGGGCATCAGACTACAGTGGGGCAGTTGGGGAGGTAGGTCCTAGCTCAAGTGGTGGTTTTCTGACTGCTGCTGCAGGGAAAGATCAAATTAAGAACAGGTCACATGCCGCTTCTATTACAAAAGCAAAAGATGAAGCTTTCTTAAATAGTCGATCCTTAGATGTGGGAAACATTGATTCTAAAGGTAGATCAAAAAAGAGAAAACTGAAGGAATCCTCCGATTCTCAAATTCATATGGGTTCCATTCCAGCTACAGGGCATTATGTTGAGGATCATTCAGTCGCCGTGAAGGAGGAGTTTAGTGAGAACTACCGCAGGAAAGAAAAGAAGGCAAGGTACTTCTAAATCCGATGGGAAAGAGTCTAGTGCAAGCAAAGGAAGTGGTAGAACAGACAAAAAAAGCAGCCATGCAAAGAACCAACAACATAGAAAAGATATCGGTAGCAGCTTAACTCACCGGAGTAGGAATGATGTGGATTCCTTGAAAAAAGATTTGGGATCTGTACAGGTTCCTATGGCTGCAACTTCAAGCTCCTCCAAAATCTCTGGCTCCCAGAAAACCAAATCCAGCTTTCAGGAAGTTAAAGGTTCACCTGTAGAATCTGTCTCATCTTCACCTATGAGAATATTGAATCCTGATAAGCTTACATCAGTACGCAGGGACCTCATGGGAAAGGATGAATCACAAAATGCTGGTCATTTTGCCATAGGTAGCCCAAGAAGGTGCTCAGATGGCGAAGATGATGGTGGGAGTGATCGATCTGCAACAGCAAGGAAGGACAAAGTCTCCACTGCGGCTTATCATGGGGCCCGTGAGTCTTCTGTGCTTGATTTCCAGGACAGAGAGAATGGAAAGCATTATCACTCTAATGGATCGCACCCAAGAAAGTCAGGGAAGGGATACTCTTCTTCACTGTCAAAGGACAAGAACAGGAGCTTTGAATCTGATTTGGACATTGGTGAGGCCAAGAATTCTAATGTTCTCAGTGAACAGAAAGATCATTCACCCTCCCATGGAATAAAACCCGGGGATGGTAAAAACAAGTTGCAGGAGAAATTTGGGTCTAAATCTGGTGAAACTGAGAACAAATATGTCAGCAAGAAAGATGTTACTGGAAAATCTTCCATTGAGAGCAGTAAAGGGGAAGGTCAGTCGAATTTTGGGGGGCATGATGGCCCAGATGTTAAGCCAGAAACCATTTGCAAAAAAGATGCAATTTCTACTCCCAAGCAGAATTCACTGCAAGATTGTGATGGTGAAAAGTCATCAAAGATTCCTTCTGAAAAAACTGAACGAGTGGATGCAGGCTCAGTTAGGGGGAGGTCACTACCCTTGCCACCCTCTGGTGGATTTCAAAATGAGATTACGGGTCGTTGTCCCCGACCAGCTGTGGGTTCTCAAAAAGGTAATGGTGCAGATAGCTCACAAGTTGATGCCTCTGAAGGTAATGATGCTCTGAAGCAAATACAAACCAGAAGGTTGATAATCAGAATGGAGCTCAGTATATCAGTTCAAGGCATCTTGCACAGAATGGGCACAGGGCCAGGGATATTGATGCCCCTAGTCCAGTTAGAAGGGACTTCCGGCAGCCAGGCTGGTACTAATGCTCTGAAAGAGGCTAAAGATCTAAAACATCTTGCTGATCGTGTCAAGGTTTTAACCATCGTATTTTATGATTAGATGTTGCTTTTCTCCTTTCTGTGATAATCATGTGTAATACTAATCCTTGCAGAACGCCGGGTCTTCCGAAAGTACAGGGCTTTATTTCCAAGCGGCTGTCAAATTTCTTCATGCTGCATCTTTGTTGGAGAACATTGATAGTGCCAAGCATATTGACATGACTCAGTGCATGCAAGTGTATAGTAGCACCGCGAAACTATGCGAGTAAGTCAAATTTGAGCCGTGTTAATACTTATTTTCTCGTGGCACATGCACTGGTTTTGGGTCTTAGTGATCATATCTGTGGACTTGTGCAACCTTGCTGTGAGTCCTCCTCTACCCTTTGTGGAACCCTGCATGTGCATTGGGATCCATATATGGTTGTCCGCAATTTTAGGTGGTACTTTCAACTATATTTTTGTGGTTTTTACCATCATGTATTTGGACTTGCATCGAAAGCCCTTTTGGATTGGTTGGGAGGGGTGACAAAGAAAGTGTACTTTTGGGGTACGCATAGTATTAGCTCTTAGGATGTAGGGAGTGATCTTCTTATACTGTTGAAGCTGTAATCTGTCTTTTGCATGTGGGATGTGCTTTTGGGCCGTGCTAGGTATTGATTGTGTCGTCTTTGGTCATTAGAATAGTTATTGGCATGTACTGTAGTGGCACGTATAGGAGCCATTCCTATTTTTTAAGTGTGTTCTTTGCAGGCTTTTATATTCTAATGGGTTCTGGAGCTTTCATGCTTTTATGCTTTTCCTTGTTAATTAAAAATTATCTTATAGGTTTTGTGCACATGAATACGAGAAAGCCAAGGATATGGCTGCTGCGGCTTTGGCCTACAAATGCATGGAAGTGGCTTATATGAGGGTGATATACTCCTCGCATGCCAGTGCAAGCAGAGATCGTCTTGAGTTGCAAACAGCTTTACAATTGGTTCCTCCTGGTAAGTTGACCAGCGTCCTAAGTGAGCTGTTATTTGGTGCTAGAGGAGCTGCAAGGCTCTTAGGTAGCCTTGTTCTGAGTTGCTGCTAATTTGATATCCGTCTTGTTGCTTTTCTATCAGGTGAATCTCCTTCTTCCTCTGCCTCTGATGTTGATAACCTAAACAACCCCTCAACGTTAGACAAGGTTGCCTTACCCAAGGGCGTTAGCTCTCCCCAAGTTGCTGGAAATCATGTTATTGCTGCCCGAAACCGTCCCAATTTTCTCCGGATGCTCAATTTTGTAAGTTTATGTAGATCCTATTCTGAAACTTTAATTTGTTTCCCTTGTACTGTTGCACATTTTCATCAGAATTATTTTTCTAAATCTTTAGTATGTATAACGTGGTCAGAGAAGGGCATGAACAAGAATTGACTGTCAATTTATTTAGAATGGGTATTCTCTTTTCACAGTAGAGAAGTGTGGACGATGATGAACATTTTGTAAATATGATTTCTTGCAGGCTCAGGATGTAAATTTTGCAATGGAAGCGTCGAGGAAATCGATGCTTGCATTTGCAGCTGCTAATACAAACACGGGAGATGCTAAGCGTGCAGAGGGTATATCTGCCATTAAAAGGGCTCTTGACTTTCACTTCCAAGACGTGGAGGGATTACTACGTTTGGTACGGCTCGCGATGGATGCTATCAGCCGTTAAAAAAGGCAAGTAGTTGTGGGATGATTCAACCCTAGCAAAAGGTCTATTGGTGAATCCTTGGTCTCATGCCTTAAGGAAGGCAGAAAACGAGTCTGGTCTTGATACTTCTGCTGAACTGCTCGGAACATCTGTTGAGCGACTGATTGTTTCTCTTCATGTTTCAAATACAGCGAACGCCTAGTCATTTTATTTTATGTGGTCTCGAATCTGCTTTCAAGCACTGACAAGTCATTGTCAAGTACGGCTCTGATGAAAAGATTCTGGAGCAGCTTCTGAAAGTGGATTTACTTCATCAAGAATGTGAGGGGCGATATAATAGTTGTATATAAGGACTAGAGAACCGAGTTCTAAAATCAATAGGGGGTTTGTTTTGAGTCCCAAAACCAGAACTTACAGCTTTGGAGATTCTTTATTGTTGAGACTGTTAACTTATCTTGATAATTCGTTATGTTGAACTTTGTGGAGAAGACTGGCAGCTGCCAGTGTGTGCACATACTATCTGATCTTGATTCAACAGTTGGGACCACACCGACACTGTAGAAAAGGGTGGAAAAGATGGAAATCGTAGGTATGCTGTTTTTTCTAATAGATAATCTGTATTTCCCGTCAAACCTTTCAGTTACCATTTGCACTTTTTTGTCTGAATTTGATTTTGATACGTGTTACATGTGCAGGTTGTCTTCACTTTTGTTGTAGTTAGGATATCTTCTTTGCGTTAATAGAGATGAAATCAGATGAAAAAGAAAGAAAAAAAACATTATCAGCGAATTATTATCACTGTTATGCATGTTAGCTCGAACCTGCTGCGCTTGCCTGAGTTTCTTTCCTCAAAGGTTTGTTAGCCGTAACTGTTGGTGGAAGTTTGATGCTTCATTCTAAGTGCATTCATCTCTAACTCTGTCTATTTTCACTTTATCTTGCCAGTGGCGACAATGTATATATACTAATCATTGAATCGGGATTATTGAAGAATCTGCACGTGTTTCCATCTGTAAAGAGAAGGGGATCGGTTGGATATTATTAACTCGGTCCTTCAGATCTAACAGGTAAGGTTCTAATGATTTAGCAACGTTAATCTTTTTTGTCAACTTCAGATAATTAAAGATATATTTGCATACATGAGAGGAGGGCAGGATTGAGCCGAATTACTCTTCTTCTGTACCCTTCCCTTTCGTCTTTACTCTTGATTCTCCTTTGATTTAATTCAATCCAAGGGCTAGAGAAAGAGAGAGGAGTGTCGGGAAGTAGAAAATCACTTTCCCATTTATGTGGCATGTATGAGAGATGTTCTAGGGTTTTAAGTAAGAATGCAACAAATCCAGAGACGTCTGACTGATCGCTATTGTTAGTGCAAGTCTTGTAGATTGAATTTGAGGAGCGTATAATGTTTTGCTAACCAAACTGGGTCTCTGCTTGCAGGTTGAGCAGCGGGGATAGTTGCGATTTCTGCAGCCCTAGCGAGTAGACGTATGAATTCGGTGTGATATTCTCGTTTTGAATTTTGCCGGATGTGATGTGGATAGTATAGTTTCCCAACAGTTAGTGATTAAACGATTGTTTAGTGAGAGAAATAACATTTGTTTAGGTTTACACAATAATGTTTAAAATCAGTTCAGTTAGCGATGGTTATTATCCGGGTTTTATAAATTATTCATGGAAAAAAGCCGGAAATGTCAACGGGAGATTTTGAGTGCTCTCTTTTCTGTTCAGTATTTTATGCTCTAAGACGGAAAAATACATTTTGTAGGTTTTTATAGGCCGCAACATCTCTAGAATTTCTTCCATGAATTTTATGGTGAAAAATTGTGACTATAACTCAGTAATTCTTGGCTACCGAGTACTATGGTCTGGTGATATTTTTCTTCACTACAAGCGAGAAGTCTCAGGCTCGATTTCCATAAAATGTGAATTTGAGTCGCATGATTGCTAATCCTCTCTTAATGTAGATAATAATATCGTTTGTTTAGAAAAAATAAAAACTCGTAATTTAGTGAAAATGGAAATTGTTGAGTTTTTGCAAGACATTTTGTGTGCACGGTAAAGAAAATATTAGTCGGGGCTCGGGCTATGGGAAGGCGAATATCATGCGGAACGTAGTTAGTTATAGTTAATGGTTTTGAGACCAACAACTCACCCCTAAATTACATGGTCACTTGGCGACCAACGAATGCTTTTAATGTTTCAAACTCAACTGTTGAATTTGATATCAAACAAAGAATGAACGAATGAGTTTTTAATGTTTTAATCCCAACTCTTAATATGACATGAAATCAATCTATGAGTGACCATATATCCTTAGTCGTTAGGTAACAAAGAGAACGGAACTCACGAAACACATCCATATTCCCTTTCCCATACATCAATCGAACCTCTCCAAACCCACTTGTGTTACAAAGGAAACTTTTATAGTGAAGCATAAACCGAAAGAGAAAAGGTTAACACTGGTTTTGGGCTTGTGCTTTTAAATTGATTAAAAACGCTTTTAAAAAAAATATTTTTGAGTTCCAAAAACACAGTACTTTTTGCAAGAAACATCAGTTATATATTTCTTCCAGAAAACACCTTATGTGCTTTTCTAGAATTTACTTGCAATTTTATTAAAGATTGTTTCTAAAAAAAAATTCATTAAAAGCACTTCCAGCATTTTAAAAACACTTTCAAACGAGCTCTTAGCCTTCTAAAGGTCGTTAAGCAACCACGAAAACACTAAATAGCAGTACAAAAATCTTAATATTATTGCCAATAATAATATTCCCCCCCCCTAAGTTAGAAAAACATAGATAATGGATCAATTGCACAAAAACTCGTCTGAAAAATCCTAGCATTTCTAAAAGAGCTGCACACAATATACAGCAGATCTCTCGGGTCTCAAATCCGAAGACGAAGAAGAAGAAGAAACTATGGCTCGAGCTTTCTGATGAGGGTGTTCAACCAGTCCCTCCTACACCCAAGCAATCGAATCAGGCAAGATACCTGAACATGTTGGGGTTTTCCTTGTCCCTCTCCAGGTAGTCGCGAGTGATGAGGTCTTCAATTCGCTTCTTAATTGCTTTGATGTCGGGCTGCACATTTCAAGTCGGCCCATAACCGTTGCCAGAACCGATTAAATGGGAACAAAAGAGCACAGAATATATAGATACAGATACGAGAGGCAAAATGTCTATATGCGAACACCAACGTAAACTGAAAAGTGCATCCAATGACAAACATAATGTAGTACCTTGAACATTTTTCCCAGCTGCTCAACGCACTCCAAGACTAATTGTTGATGACCCAAAACTTTCCGACTCTTCATAATCCTAACAATTGCAGCATCAATAGCATATCTCCGGTCTTTGTCAACATCTTCAATCACTTTCTTCCTTTCATCTACGGGTGGGAGAGGAATCTAAGGATAAGCAAAACAGCCATAGTTAATGAATCTTCAGCTCTCAGAACAAGAATGAAGTGGAAACAAGTACAGGGATCTCAGACCTTGATTCTTCTCATTTTATCCGTGAACTTGTAGTTGAATTCAAAGCTGTCGTTCGTTGAGATGGTCTTTGAATTTGGCTCCTTGATGAGAATCTTGTACTTGGCACATGAGAGCGAATGAAGCAATCTAACCAAGTCGTCATGAGTAAGGTTCAACTGAGTCAATATTTCTGAATAGCTCAATTTATCAGCGCTGTTGAAGAGGAGCAAGAGAGCAGCCTGTGAAAAATACAAGCAACACAACTTCTAGTCCCCGTACTCGAATACTCTTGAAAAAGTGACATTCTGCCAATGGCCAAAATAAATCAAGCAAAATATTGTGGAATAACCTGATAGGTTGACACGATCAATTCAATGGGTCTGGTGTCAAACTTGCCAGTAACATTGCACGTGCCCAATGAGTAAATCCATGTAAGTTTCCGGTGTTTCGTTTTTGTTTCATAGAATCCCTTGAAAACTTCAACACATTTCACCTGAAATAGATATATACGCCAAATATCTATTCATCAGGTATACCATATTTGGGAACGTGTATTTCCAAGCACAATCTATATTTGCAGTGGAAATCTTCCACAAACTTAATATTACCATCTCTTCAGGAAGGTTAAGATCAAACGATTTATAACTTGGCCAGTAACCAGTCGTAAGCACGGTGACTGTCAAGTCCATCCCAGGATTCACGGCAGGGTTATGGTGAAGATACTCCTCAAACCCTTTCTGGTGGTCCCGAGCTATTGTCAAATCAGTGACCTGAAAGATAATTTAAGAAATTCAATCTAGGTCAATAAATAAGTTCATGAAACAATTTCCTACTTCATCTTAGGTCAATCACTATAATTTTCCTCTCCACCTTAAGTCAATACCACTTGCTAAAATTTCTCTTAATTGACCCAATCCTAGTATTAAAAATACTTGGTGACCACAAAGACAAATATCCGCAAAGGGATGAAGATATTGAAAGTACTTTGCAGGATGTGCATCAGATGGCTAGACAGTTGGAGTATATCTTTTTTTTTTTCTTTTTCGCTTCACATGATTGTAATGGTGTGACCCAGTAGCTTACTTTGTAGACACTGGAAAGGGTGGTAGTCAAAGATGGGGTTTGTTGTTCCCGATTGGGTTTTTAACTCTCTTGCTCGAGATGTAAACATTTCTATACGAACTTGATAATTGACCATTGTTTGACGGAAAAAAAAAGAAGGAAAATATCTCTATTAACAGCGAAGTAACAGTCAGAAAGACACTCAGGGAAAAACAGGTTGACTCACCATTCCCTCCATTTTTGACGTAAACTGTCCACCACATTGCTGCTTGAGCTTCGTCAGAATACTTCTTTCGTGGTCCTCATTGGCACTCCGATCAAAAAGTAACCGACGGGCTAGTTTTTTCCTGTGAATAGAAAACAATTACTTATTGTCTACTGAGCTGCACACACACACGCACATATATATGTTGGAGTACAAAGACACTGTTAGCTGTTAATGATCATTTACCATGTCATAAGCCATTGGATGAAAACCCAATGGTTAATAGGATTCGTATCACTTATTTGACCCCAAGACTTTGTACTATTAACCGTTGGATTTCACATAGTTACTGGTAAGTGCATTGTTAAAACACTAACCAGCAACTTTCGGACAAGAACTTAACTGGTAAGTGACACAAAACCACATACGCTACATATTGATAGAAAACATGGATTTACCTGTAGAATTCTGCATAAAGGTCTTTGTCACTGATATAAGCAAGCAGCTTAACAACCTGAAAACAGTTAGATGACAATCTTAAAATTAATCGAAAAGATCAAGTTCAACAAGAATTACCAAACACATAACCAACAATAAATGAAAATTCATAATAAGAAAAACCCTCAATAAAATAATACCTTCTCAAGCGTTTCTTCTATGGCCTCATCGCTCAACCTATCACTCCCACCCTTCTTGAGGATATTATCACAGAATCCCGCAAGTAATTCCGCACTTGAACTCCCAGAAACGGATTTATTGCAAAATACCTCAAAAGCCTCTTTCAATGCCTATTAAACACCCAACAGAAAAGGGCCTCTTAGAGAAAGTAACAAGACAAACGTAAATGACAAGAATTGTGTAACACTAACCTTGTGAAAGAGTGTGTGGTTCTGAAAGCTATCATCAACATATTTCATATACTTGTCATGCAGCTCAATTATGTTTTTGATAAGGACCTGAAAACCACAAAAGATACGTCAACTATGGACCTCCAATCCCTGCCAAAATTATCAAATAGTAAGGATTAACGTAGTTACCTGTTCCTGTGTGCCACCTCCACCTCGAGCCTGCAGAAGCAATTTTGATACAAATTAACACCATAATATAAAAAGCAAGATGAACACATATTTAGTTCGCTCCTGAATGCTTAATAGGATTCACCAGGCACACACACAATACAAAATCAAATAATACTACTGATCAAGAACCCTTGGGCCTTGGCACAACTTAGTCAACAAGCGTTCAAGGAAGGACAGCTTACTATAACCTCATTCCTCTTATCACTTTTTTCTCTTCTTTCTCAGTAGATTAGCACATATAATGCCATGATCCTTTTGAACTTAATAAGTATTCGAGTCAAAACTCCAAGTTGAGTAATTAAATGTGCATCAAGCAACCGTGCAATAACCTCAACTCGGCATCACTTACACTGATTGTAAGTTATAATTATATAATGAAAAAACATGATAGTACAAAAGCATGTTTCATATATATAATACATATACACACTATGCAAACACCTAGTTAATATTCATACATCACGCTTGCATCTAACTTTTTGAAGTAGCCAGAACATGGGACCAATGACTTCAAAGACATCCACGAGATACATCAAATAGAGAGGCAACACCCAGGAATTTTAGTGATTAGCAACTACACTCCAGCATGCATACATAGAATGGCAAGCAGAATAAATTTAAATAGATCCATAACAGAATACAAAACATATGCAGCAATTACCCCTATACTTGAGTTCATATAGGATAAATATATGGCAGCAATTACACCAAGACACTTGTTAATATGTCACTTTCAGCATAAACAGAACAAGATACTGAACCTGGCTACTTGCAGCATCTTCAGCCTGTTGAACCAAGGCCGTACCTTCAGCAGTAATATGCTGCAAAC